TAAATGGACTGAAAAGTCTCGATTTCATAAAAAAATGAAGTGTATTTGTACGGCGAACAATTGGGAAATAAATTTTCTTGTTACTGGTATCATTCCCGTATTTAATTTTTGAAAGCCAAATTCAAGCAAAATACGCGTCGAATCGTAGTACTTACGTATGAAATGTAACACTGGTCACTTTCTTTAGTTTTTCTGATGTATTTAGACACCCTTTCACAGCACAAACCGTCTTAATTAATTAAAAGTCGTCGGACGTGTTTACCAATTTTTCACTTTGACGGTTCATGTGACGTTTACGAGTAAGCCATTCTGGCTTACTAAAATCTGCCTCACCTTTCGTGCACTGACTATCTATCTAGGTTTTATTAATGTAAGCCTCTGCGTTACGAGCGGCGTTAGTGCTGATTTGATCAAATACTTGAGTATATTGGGTGTTTTGTGTTGAATACAAATTTTTAGACTAATAATCCTACTAATATTATAAATGTGAAAGTTTGGATGTCTAGATGTTTCGATGCATGTTTGTTACTCTTTCAAGCAAAAACTATTTAACGGATTTTGATGAAACTTTACAGTATTATTCTTTACAACGCAGAATAACATATAATAATTTATGACGATCTGTGACAAACTAAAGTTCACGCGGGTGAAACGCGGGCAAAAGCTAGTTACACAATAAAAGTGACTTTATCATGCTATAAGGTTGTATTTTAACTACCAAATTACTAATAGTTTCGTTAACCCCTTGTGTTACGAGTGAAGTGTCCAGCGGACAACGGGGTTCGAACCCGCGTTCCTTGGATCTCGATTCGGCCAGTATTTAAAACCATCTGAAGCTATATTGCTTTAAGAAAAAAAAATGAAAATCTTTCAATCCTCGACCATAATTACGAGTGAACTGCATGTAGGAAAGGTACCCAATATGGTAGAGTTTTGTAATAATTAATTCAGTCTTTTGGTCCTTATCTTAGTTAGTCGCAAACTGATTGTCGGCCGTTTGGTGTAGTGTTCAGAACGGACTACTATGCCGAGAGGTCCCGGGTTCGATTGTCGGCCGGGCAGAAATTGAAATGATGAATTTTAATTTCTGTGATGGGTCTGGGTGTTACCTATGTATGTATTTACAAAAAAAAAGTATTTATGTATGTTTATATCCGTTGACAAGCCCATAGTACAAGCTTTGCTTAGTTTGGGACTAGAAGCGTAGTGTAAAATATCCAAAGATATTTATTTATATGTAGGTAGGTACACTAAGGTAAGTACACTACGTCGTATTGTAGTATGGTCAGGATCAAGGTGTAGTTAATCTTGTAGCCGACGTATGACACTGTTAGGGCACTTGTAAACGGTTAGCGGTGAGCAAAGCCACTACATATCCTAACTGGCCTACACAAACATACGAGTACACAAGTAGCTTAGTTTACACCTTGGTAAACACATCTTAAACCCAAGGAGTAAGACATATCACTCTACGTAAATAGAAATCTACGTATAAATAAACAGGCTAAATAAAACCGTTTAAAAATGAAAGTTGGTGGCAGTAGGTATACTAGGACTTCTTTCACTAAAAAGTAGAAAAAAAATAAAATTACTTATTTATTAGGCAGAATTAATAATACAATATACCATGATTGAAGTCGGTGCCAAGATTATGAAACGTTAAATAAAAAAAAAATCAACACAAAAATTTAATTATATGGTTTTTGTTTAGGGCAAAAACTAGATAAATGGATCATAATATCATGGCCAATGGTCAGGGCCAATTAGTTCTTAATAACTATAATGCGATGCAACTCTTAAGGCGATTAGAGTCCTCAATGACCTTGGGCGTTTGACCTTCACGCCGCGAGCAACACCCGCGTACCCCGCACCAAAAACTCCGATTTGACACCGATCAAAAATACACGGGCATAGGTAGATACAGAATAGAAGCTCTTTCTTCATACATTACTGCCTATTATTTTAAACTTAACTTGATGAACCTTGATGTCGGTGTCATTTAACTCAGGCGTAAAGGTATTTAATAAAAATAACAAAATCCATGAACATTTTGTACGGGATAAAATTTTATTTTATTTTTCGTAAATTTTCTAATGCTTTTNCATTGATCTAATCGGACCCCTGCCACCATCCCAAGGTTATCGCTACTGCCTTACAATTGTCGACCGTTTCACGCGCTGGCCTGAGGCAATACCGTTGCAGGACATAACGGCAGAGACTGTAGCAAGAGCCCTTGTTCAAGGCTGGATAGCTCGCTTCGGTTGTCCTACTGAAATCGTCACAGACAGAGGCCGACAATTTGAATCCACGCTCTTTAACCGCTTAGCCGAGCTGGCAGGATTCCAACGCCGCCGTACCACTGCCTATCACCCGGCCTGCAATGGGCTAGTCGAGAGATTCCATCGACAGTTGAAGGCCGCTATTACCTGTCACGCCAATAGTAACTGGGTGGAGTCCCTCCCGCTGGTGCTGCTAGGTATACGGGCTACACACAAAGAAGACCTCCATGCATCGCCAGCCGAGCTAGTTTATGGCGAGACCCTACGCCTACCAGGAGAATTTTTCGAGCACCAAACTGACAATGTACCGGACTTGACCGATTTCACCCATAGAATACGTCAGTTCGCACGCAACTTGCTCCCAGCTCCTGCTTCCCGACACATAGCCAAATACCCAGTCTTTGTATTCAAAGACCTGGCTACTTGCAAATACGTATTTCTTAGGGACAATACACCTCACGGATCATTCCAACCGGCTTATACTGGCCCCCATGAAGTACTAGAGCGAGGAGATAAGATTTTTAAAATCATCGTGAATGGGAAACCAGCGACCGTCTCTATTGATCGGGTCAAACCCACATATTCACTTCGCGAGACACACCCCGAGACCAAGACATCCCCAGATTATCAAGGGCTAAAAACCACTCCTGAAACCGAACAAGATAATAATATTAGAACTACACGGTCAGGACGTAAAGTACGTTTCCCAGATTATTATCGCCCGTAACCCGGTCTCTGGAGGGGGGTGATGTGGCGTTNGCTAATGTTTTTAATAATTTTAATACGAGTGTTAGTTGTAATATTGTAGACGGATAAACTTCATTCTTAATTATATTAATCTACGTACGATAGAGTGAGACCGACAAAAGAAAAATAAATAAAAACGTCTTAGCCATTTCGCCGCCGAACCCAAGAAATAAATTCCCTTGAAAATGCTTAGGATGTCATGAAACGAATACACAGGTAGGAAATAAATACGAAGGTAATCTTGCTGTAAAACGTTTTCAATGAGTAAATTTGTATTTTAATCTGGGCGCGAGATGGGGACTGGGAAAGGTATTAGAGTGAGGTCTTATTGCTTGCGTAAGCGTTTTTTGTCCTGCTCACACTTGGTGAGCTCGTCCAGGTGAAAAGAGACGGGTTGATAATCTTTAAAGGCATTATGGCGACTGTAATGTGTATTCGGCACATCAAAGTGGAAGGGAAACGGCGCGAATACTTCAGATTGCATCAGCGCATATCAGCTTGATGGCAAATAGAGGGTAGTTCCAACGAAACAAAGCAGACGGCATCTGCAATAAAGGTAAATTACCTGACTGAAGGTACAGTCAGCGTCAGATACTTTGTGACGCCTAAAATTACCAAGAAGGTATGTAACAACGCTACCTTATTCCAATTTAATTGTAACATAGACGTATTGCAAACTTTTTGGCTCAGTCACGCAGTATTCGACGCAGTACCTAACATTTCGGCGTCAATATGAATTTTGCAGAGTTCACTCGTCACAGAAAAAAGCATGTGTAAATTCGCCACACTTTATACTTTTGTCATAACAAATTGACGCGTACTTTTCAAGATTAAATTATGTCGAATTTGCTTTGCTAAAAAATACAAAAGTGTGACGAACCATCGCTTTGGAAAATTGACAATTATCTAACTCCAATTTCGTAGCAGCTGGTTTGGAGCAATCAGTTTCTCTTTCCCTTTCATCATCATCATCACCTCAGCCATAGGACGTCCACTGCTGAAAATAGGTCTCCTTCAATGCTTTCTGTGCGTATGTCGCACTGAAAATTGCGTTTATTACGCTGGTTCAGGGAATTTGATTTGAAAGTGGACTGTATAGGTTTTTTATAATAGAAAATTGATGAAAGGTAGATCAGTCCTCGCAACACAGAGACAGGTAATCTGAGCTTCACCAACCTTAAAATCGACCCTCGCCACGGACGGAAGCCAACCTGCAGACGCACGGCGTTCTGGGCGGTGGAGCACTGCCAGAGTATGCTCGGAGCTGATGCTGATGATGATGATGGTACGCGGAGCACGGCTACACGCGAATTATAGCAAAAGACACGGTCTTTTCAGGGAGTGAACGTCACTCGTAGACTCGCTAAGCGTGCGCGACACACGGGTGTGCGCGATGAGCGTCGCCGGGCAAGTGGGGCTTGCTCCGACCATTGGACGATGGTAGGAAAATAAAGTTGGCGAAGCAAATGTGAGAATACCCGCCAATATTTTTACAAGGACTGAACATACCCCCCACCGAAATCACTGTGATGATTTCTTGTAATCATTATTTGTGACAGGTATGAAATAAAATAAATTTAGTGCCTAACTACCTTACATAGACCTAGTTATAAAATTAAAATTAAAATTAGAAAGTGTATGTTATTTAAATTAATTTGCATAGGGCAAAGGGCAAACTTTATTAACGGGTCTTTTAAAGATGCCATTTTGAGTTCTTACAGTAATGATGCGGACAACATTATCAGGTCCAGGATGAATTTCTTCAATCCTGCCTCGCGGCCACTGTAAGGGTCGAGTTAGATTAGATTTAAGCAATACTAAATCTCCCACTTTTAGATTAGGTGCAGAAGAAAACCACTTTTCCCTCTGCTGAAGAGTATGAAGGTAGTCATTCGACCAACGCCTCCAAAAGGTTTGTGAGATCTTTTGGACTGATTGCCAACGAGACAATCTGTTCAGAGGAACGTCCTCAACTTCATATTCCGGGACGGCAAGTAAATTTTGACCCACCAAAAAATGACCAGCGGTCAGGATATCAAACTCATTNAAAACTATTGTAAGGTAGTTTGACATAGAACGTCTATGTAAGTTAATGAAACGATTTTTAGCTTGGGCTAAATTGATGTTATAGTTCTAAATATGTATAAAAGAATTTAAATATGGAACAGTCGGCTCGAAGACCAAAAAATTGTGCGTATGTCGCACTGAAAATTGCGTTTATTACGCTGGTTCAGGGAATTTGATTTGAAAGTGGACTGTATAGGTTTTTTATAATAGAAAATTGATGAAAGGTAGATCAGTCCTCGCAACACAGAGACAGGTAATCTGAGCTTCACCAACCTTAAAATCGACCCTCGCCACGGACGGAAGCCAACCTGCAGACGCACGGCGTTCTGGGCGGTGGAGCACTGCCAGAGTATGCTCGGAGCTGATGCTGATGATGATGATGGTACGCGGAGCACGGCTACACGCGAATTATAGCAAAGACACGGTCTTTTCAGGGAGTGAACGTCACTCGTAGACTCGCTAAGCGTGCGCGACACACGGGTGTGCGCGATGAGCGTCGCCGGGCAAGTGGGGCTTGCTCCGACCATTGGACGATGGTAGGAAAATAAAGTTGGCGAAGCAAATGTGAGAATACCCGCCAATATTTTTACAAGGACTGAACACTTTCCATGTTGCCCGGTTGGTAGCGGCCTGCATCCAGCGCCTTCCTGCTTTATGATGTCGTCGATCCCTAAAAAAAACAAAAATATAGGCTATTAAAAAGCAATATTATTGTTCACTTTTTAAGCGATATTCATAAAATTAAATATTAATGTTATAAAAGATGCATTGCTGTACACAATATCTGTCGCATTAATCATGTTAAGTGTACATTCATAGACCGCGGACACTATAACTCAGTTTAACAGTAGAAATATGCAAAAAACTGGACCATAGACAATAAATCTATCGTTTATGACGTAGATGGTGTGAAAAATGTTACAGATAACGTAGCACCAATATGGGAATGGCGTGCATTCAAATGCGGCTGCGTACATCAGCAAGATACATAGATCTATGCGTAGGGTTACCAGATGACAGGAATTTTCCCAGCACTTCGGAAATTTTTGTATTTTGTCGGAAAAAAATATTACAATTCTAAAATTTTTAAATATAAAATCGTCCGCAATTTTTTTTCTTTTAATTTTTTTGTCAAACAAGGGCACAGAAATGTCTGCCGCATAATATGAAGTCCATAAAATGACGGAAAAGTTTCCCAAAAGTCAGATTTTTTTCAGGGAAACTACAATATAGTGTATTGGGTAACCCTATCTATGCGTTTCTAATTGGAGACACGCCAGCGTCATTTGCTTGGCGCGAACGGCCATTGCAATTAAAATAGGTCTGAACTCCGATATATCATCTGGCGAAATGTTATTCCAGCTAAATAATACTCGCTGAAGAAACTCTTTTCTTTAAGTGTAGACACTGTTTATGTATAAGTCCACTATTGCATGCCGTGGCAACCTATAATTAAGGCAGCACTTAGATTAAGTTAAATACGTTGTAAATATTGATTGTCTTCCAGTGTATGTCTTGTTGGTTGTCCTATTAAATAAATAAATAAATATCATCAGGTTTGGCTGAGACGGTTTTGACTAGAAATTGGGTGCTTTAGTTGAATTTGCTACTATAACAAGATGTTGGACAAGGAAAATATGCTTGAAGCTATAAAAGATAGGATACGGTTACAGTTTATTTTTGATATGACTTAGATTTTAAAAAATGCATAAAATTAAAACATTAGCTAATTAAGAAGTATGTTTATATCCGTTACCTGATACCACACTAAATGCTTTTCTTACGTTAAGTTGCACCACCTAACTTTAACCGTAAGTATAACGATAACCGGTATTTTGTTCTGAAGTTTGCGAAAGTTAAAGTAAGATGGTGCAACCAAGCCTTAGTAGGTATTCACAGTTTAAATATAATTTCGCACCCCCCCTGGAATAAGTATGCAAGTCCACTTGTGCGATATTTTTTTTATTGCACTAAAAAATCAAGAAGGAGGTAATACATATTGTCAATTTTTTTCATAATTTTTCTCTTAAAAATGAAGAAATTATGTACAAATATGTAAAATATTGCAACATTAAAATATCTAAATTTCCATAGCAAAAACGAAGTAAATACATTTGCACTTAATTGTTTAATAAAGTTCCGTATGAATAATAGTCGTAAACTACACTTACACGTTGAATGCACGACTAAATCTGAACGCCAATAAGTGGTTATCTGCAATAATACCAAACAGCATGTATTCCTTTACATGTCAACAATGCAATATTCATAATTACAACAACAAGTGTTAAAATATGTTTCGCGGAATAAGTACGCAACGCTCTTTTTTAAGTTTTTCTCAAAACCTATTAAGTGTATTTTAAATATAAATACATAGGCCCCTCACAGACATTTTTAGTATCTTTTGATGTATAACACATATTTTTAATAATGGTAATAAATTTTTATGACAGTTTTTTTACGCTCCTGAAAAGTTGGCATTTTTCACTTGCGTACTTATTCCAGGAAGGGTGCGATTTTTCTATTGTTGGTAGTATGTAAGGTCATTACAATCCAGTGCAATACTAACACGTGCATAAAAGGAAATTTGAATTAATCGTCCTAACGTACGACTGAAACCACTACTACTGTCATAATTAACCCTCTCTTTAGGGTAACTCCAAAAGCGGGTTTAAAACTTCACTTGTCTGATATAGCTTTTTTAAATCGCTTTAAAATCCGCTCGCTAAGCCACCAAAACCGTGGCTTCACAGCCCGCTTGGCACCAGCTTAAATCCTTTTGAATATTTTAATTTAGACGCTTCCCGGGGCCAGTATATCGCGTGGAGTCTAAATGGAGCAGTCTAATTATCTACAGGTCTATTCACGAGCGACATTAATATCGCACACAATATTCGACTGTTCGATTGCGTA